ATACACAAAAAATCACACACACAACAATACAACCAAAAACATAAACACAATAATGCACCAAAAAATATAAATTCACACACTAATCCTTAGTATAAGTTTGTGTGCACATTTAAAACTATACATTCACACACAAATCCTTAGTATAAGTATGTGTGCAAATTTTGGTGTATTATGGGGTATTAATGTGTGTGTGTGTGTGTGTGTTTTAGTGGATTTTTGTGTGTGTGTATGTGTTTTAGTGGACTTTTGTGTTTATGTGTGTGTGTGTGTGTTTTAATGTATTAGTATGCAGGTGCGTGTGTGTTTATGTTTTGGTATATTAGTGGATGTATGTGTATTTTGGTATATAAGTGTGGGTATGTGTGTGTTTTGATATATTAATATGCGGGCATTTATTTTAGTGTATTATAGTGTGTGTGTGTGTGTGTGTGTTTGGTGTAACAGTGTGTATCTATATGTGTGTGTTATAGTGTATTAGAGTATGTGTGTGTGTGTGTTGATGTATTAGTTTGCGTGTGTGTGTGTGTGTGTTCTAGTGTACAATATGCATGGGGGTATGCGTGTGCTTTTTTATTGTGTATTAATGTGTGTCTGTGTACTTTAGTTTATTGTGTGCACATTTTTTAAAAGCATTCGTTCAAAGATGTTATTAAAAATGCTTTTGCTTGAAAGAAAAGAGAAAAATGTTGAACAATTTTTTTTATACTTTAAAAAAATACTTTCAAAATGCACTAGTATTGATCTCAGAATCTGTTCACCATGATAGATGGCCAGAGTTGTGACCTAGCAATCGGTAGGAGTCTTTCTGCAAAAGAATCGAAGGCCAAAGGGACTCTGGCGGTCGACCCTCCGATGATAAAGTCAAAAGAGAATGATAGAGAGAAGTTGTATTTAGCTAGGAATGTATTATTTACTTGGATGATACATAGCTTGGCCTTTGTATAGGTCAAGGGATTGAACTGTTAGAAGACCTTCAACAGTTATTTGATTGAAGCGGCACTATAAGTGGAATAGATGTCGTTGCCTTCTAGCATGGATATCTCAACTGGTTTGAATTAGTCAAGATGAGCCAAGCTGGAGTGTTGGCGAGTAAGGAGCTAAGGTCTTTACTAAGTCTAGCTCATGCCCACGTGCTTAACTTGTGCCTAATTTACCATCATTAGTTGCCCCTTAATTCAGACCAATGGATGGCACATGTAATGAATTTAATAAACTTGTCCATTAGAACCTGGAAAAGTGTGAACATCTGTCGTGTACACGCAACTGCCAAAGAGCCGTTGTGGGTCCAATGTATAAAACTTTCTTTTATTTTCTACTCAACACCATTATAACTCTTCACTCTAGAGCATGTAGGTTGGAGCCATACTTTTAAGTTTTACTTTTACTGCTTTTGCTTTCTTAGGTGGAAGAGCTTCAATCTTGATCATCTTGAGTCTTTTATGGATAGATCTATTAGAGCTCGACTTGAATTTGTGCTTGATTTTTGCCTTTCATTGTTAATAGACCCCATCACTATGGCGAGTAATTTTGAGCACACACCTTCTAAAAGCATTCCAGTGTCAGTGGCCCAAACTGATACGACTAACAAGGATTCTGACTTCATTCAGGAAATTGGTTCTTCATCCCTTAAGGTCGTCGGAGCCAAAAACTATCATAGTTGCCTTGATGACGACGCTCTTCGAGAAATTAGGATATCATACCAAATCCCTGATTTTGTGCACCTTAGGGTCTCATCTTCTAAAAAAACCGCCAACTCTTTTTTTTCGATGAAGTCTATTTTTATGTGTCCATCTTTGAAGCTAGACTTCGTTTTTCGATACCTAGATGCATTAGAGAAGCCCCTTCACCTTTTGAACCTTGATCCTACTCAATTAACCCTAATAGGTGGCGATTCTTGATCAATATAAGTGTCATTTGGGCTAAAGCTAATGGCACTGGCATTCAGCTTACTTTTGCAAAATGCTTTCAATGTTATAAACTTATCCCTTGTCCTGGGCAAGGTTGGGGTGGTTCTACCTTTCAAAGAGAAAAAGGTCGATCTTACTAATGGGTTACTCTTCGAAAGTGAAAGAGTGAAAAGAAAAATTCTTCTTTTTCTCTCTGTTTGATTGGGAATTTGGGCCTTCAAAGGATTCCCAAAGTAAATCTTTTCCAGCTCCTCATCTTTGGGCATTTCCTACCTCTTCTCTTCGTAAGTAGGTTTTCTTTGGCGTATTTCAACACGCAATTTTTGCGGGATTTTGACCTTCTATTCTTTTGGAATGCATGTAAATCAAACTCTTTGCCCCTTGAATTGAAACTCCAAGTCAAGAAAGCTCTCAACTACCCCACAAAAGATCTCTCCATCCTCGTAAATAATCAGACACTTTTTAGTGTCTGTTGGATGTTTCTCCAACTGCCTCCAAGCCTCTTACTGTAGCAGTCTCATCTTCTAAAGGTATAGTATCGCTTTGCTGCAATTTGAACTTGGAGATGATTTAACTCGTGCCTCCTCTTTCTTTTAGTTGTGGTGCCCAAATCGGTTGAAAAAAAGGCCCTTAAGGAGTTTGCGATGAAAAGGGCTTCCAAGGCTAGTCCTCCTCCTCACAAAAGGCCTTGGGTGTCCTTTTCTATGGGCAAAGGGTCATCCCTGAGCTCCACCACCTTGTACGTATCTCCTTTGAGCTTTAATGCTACCCCGAAGGATGGCGCCAACCTTGCTGTTGCTTTTGAATCATTGGACCCTCTCCCTCAAGTCCTTGGTTTAGCAGCTACTTTGTCAATAATGTGGGACAGTGTAGAAAAAATAATGGCCCGGCTTCCCCAATTCATGCACTTGGATGAGGTGCAAGCTACCTTTGACCTAGGGCCATCTTGGGTGACAAAAAATCTAGCCCTTACCATTGGGAAGGTGAGGCCTTTGAACATTTGAAACTCTTTTCCCTTTTCCTTTATGCTTTAATCCCTTACTTCCTCTTTCAGCTTGCCATCCTTACTACTAGCCATTTCAGCACCGCCTTGGGTGAAAAGAAAGCTTGTTAGGAATAATTTTAGTCCTTGCACTCTTAACCAGATACAAGAGATGTTGAGCTTATAGCAGCTTGAGAACACATTCTTCAGCTCAGGAGAGATACTGAGAAGACTTTTGGTCGTCTCCCTAATGTTGAGAAGGATAGGGATAAGGTTTTAAAAGCCAAGAACTAGTTTTTGATCATGCTGAACAATTCCATGATTGAATCCACCAAGCTATCTATAAGTATCAAGGGGTTGGAGTACAAGAAGAAAGCTCTATCTCAGAAGGTCCTTGAATTTTCTTCTAAGTTGGAGCAAAAGGAACTCAAGATTAAGTCCGCTAGGGAAGTAGCCATGTCAAAGTATGAGGACACTAGGGAACTTAAAGAGGAGGTCCTAGAATACTATGTGGATGGCTTTGAGGAATTTAAGAAACAAGCTCAGAAGAAATTTCCCAGTTTGGACTTCTCCAACTTCCTACCATGTAAGTATGTCACATCAGTAGCTAGAGGAGAAAAGAAGGACCTTGATGGGGAGGAGGTGAATAGTATGCCTTCAATGGATGAAGAGAAAGAAGACTGTGTGGTGACCGCTGCTAAAGAAACACCCATTGCAACTGGAGGGGATTGTGGAAGACACTACAGTTCCATCTGAAGAGGTTGATGGTTTAGAAAAGCAGCCAGAGGGGGGTGGTTTAGCTAGTAGCCTCCCTATTTCACTTTCCTTTGTGTTGATGTAAACCTCTTTGAATGACCAACTCCCTTCCTTATAATTTTTATGCTTGTTTCTCCCTTTTGTGTCCAATTCCTCAAAATAGTCTTGGTTATGGTTGGGCCTCTTTTTTTTTTGGGTCTTATTGGACCCCATCTGGGTTAGATTTTGCAGCTTGCATTGTTAAAAAGCTCATTGGACTTAACACAAGCTAGCTTTGGAGCCTAACCTTTTACTAAGCTTTTTGGACCTAATCCTTTCATTGAGCCTCTTGGGCTTAATTCGAGCCCAGTTTGCAAGAAATTGAGAGGTTCGTAATCATGAAGGAGCTTAACTAGAATGAGTCACCTCTGAAGTTTGAAACAACATGAAAGTGACAATTATGTTTTGTCATAGCAATCACGTCATCAAGAGGTATGGCTGGTGTCGCTTCGTTCCCATGATGCCGTGTACTTAGGGCATTAAGCACTTTTTGGTGCATGTTTCCCACATTAATTACCATTTATGGGAAAGAATCATCACTATTTAAATTCATTCACTTGAGCCCTTTCTTGCACCTTTTTCTTCTTCTAGAATTTTTCTGTAGCTAATATTCCTATTTCTCCAATGGACGCTATTTACTTTGCTTCAAGCACAAGTCATACTTTTCAGAAGGCGAGCCCTTCCTGACATGGATCCTGCCTAGGCCAACCTATTAGTGCCCAGTGAGATGACAATGTACCGCTTGACAGTCTTTAGGCAACATTTTGGTTTCCCTACCAAGGACCAAGTCCACATCCCCCCTTTAGACTCTCCTAGCAATGCACTCTTTTTTAGGAGAGTTTGCTTTTTTGAGTATGCCATTCAGGCGGGTCTTCGATTTCCTTTACCTTCCTTCATCAAAGTTGTTCTCAGCCTTTTCAACTTGTGCCCTGCCCATGTCTCAATGGCAGGATGGGGCATTCTGGTTGGTGTTATGACCTTCTGACACTTGACAAGTCTGGGAGAATCTCCAATTGTGAACTCATCACTCTTTTCATCTTTGCCATGGACTATCAAGGCTTTTATGGCTTTATCAGGAGAAGCAGGATGTCTGAGCTAATTCCTAACCTCCCTAACCCTCCTCTTGGGTGGGAGAGTATTTTCTTCCTCGTTTCTAGAGACGCTCGGGAGTTTGAGGGGGCTGCGGTAGAGACCCTTCGTTTCCCTTGAATCTAGGAAGCTCTCACCAACTTTAGTAAGTAAAGGCCTCTTTTGTGTTTCTTTAAGTGAAAATTCATTTTTTCTTACACATTATCCTTTGTCGCCTTCTTTCGTAGTGGAGATGCCCCCATTGAAGCCATTTGGCCTACTGAGAATCACTAGTGCAAGGGATGGTGGGCCAAGACCTCCTAAGAGCTTGATTACTCCTAAAAGACTAGCTCTCTTGTGGCTTGGTCCTTTTCCCACCGTGCCTAAGGTCCCCAGGAATCAAGGGGAGCTCGTAATAGAGGCAAATGGGATCCCTGACGACAATGGAGCTCCGGATGACAATGAAGAACTGATGGTGGAAGGCCCAACTACTAGGAAGAGGATATGGGAAGAGGGATCTTCTTCATCAAGAAAGAGGCATAGAGGATCAGCCTCTGGCCCTTGTGACACGGTTGAACTCTGACCAACCCTTTCTTCTTTATTGTAAAAAAAGTAAATGAAACTTTATAAATGAAAATCTTTTTGTTCTCATGGCTTTATGGTTTTGTCTTCTTTAAGAACTTTATCCCCTTGACTTGTGGAAGGGTAACAGCCTTGTAGAAGTCATTCTTTCCCTTGGAAGCTTCTATGCCTCAATACAGCTGAGTTAGGAGCTGGAAGACTCCAATTTGCCTCTATCAACTTAGGTAGGCTCAATCCGAGCTAAGTTAAGAGCTGAAAGTTGTAATTTACTGCTATTGAGCCAAGTAGATTTAATTCAAAGCTAAGAAATGAAAACTCTAATGTGGCTTATGTTGTGTCAAGTAGACTCAATCCGAACTAAGTTAAGAGTTGGAAAGCTGTAATTTGCTTCTATTGGGTCAAGTAGACTCAATCCGAACTAAATTAAGAGTTGGAAAGCTATAATTCACTTATGTTGAGTCAAGTAGACTCAATCCAAGCTAAGCTATGAGCTGGAAGCTCTAATTGGTTTATGTTGAGTCAAGTAGACTCAATTTGAGCTAAGCTAAGAGTTGGAAGCTCTAATTGGCCTTTGTTGTGTCAAATAGATCAATCTAAGCTAGGTTAAGAACTAGAAAACTCCAATTTTCTTCTATTGAGTCAAGTAGATTCAATCTAAGATATGCTAAGAGTTGAAAAGCTCTAATTTATTTTTGTTGAGTTATGTAAACTCAATCTGAGCTAAGTGAAGAGCTAAAAAAAACTCTAAATTCCTTTTGTTGAGTCAATTAGATGCAATCTAAGCTAAGTTGAGTTGAAAAAGCTCTAATTTACTTATGTTGAGTCAATTAGCTGCAATCCGAGCTAAGTTAAGAGCTGAAAAGGCTCTAGTTTGCTTCTGTTAAGTCAATTAGACCCAATTCGAGCTAGGCTAAGGGCTAAATTCTAAGAATGTTACTAACAACAAAGATGGATGTTCATCACATTCTTAGTTAAGAAAATTGTGAAATACATAATTTTATTTGATGTTAGCTACATAGGAATTGAAATTCTTACTAACTAGGCTACCACCAACTGGTTACTAATAAAACTTCTTTAGATGCTCTGCATTCCATGGGTGTGGGAGTTTGACCCCTCCTAGAGTTTCTAGGTGATAGGTCCATGGCCTCAAGATCTTTACAACCCGGTAAGTTCCCTCCCATGTTGATCCTAGATTTCCTTCTCTGGGATCCTTGGTGGCTTGAGTCACTTTCTTCAAGACGAGGTCATTTATCAAGAATTGTCGAGGCTTGACTCGTGCATTGAAATACTTGGACACTGTACTTTGGTATGCTTCTACTCTTATATGGGATTCATCCCTTTTTTCTTCCAACCAATCTAAGTTATTGGCCAAATGTCAGTCATTCGATATAGGGTTGAACTCCCAATCTCTACTTGTAAAGCCTCAAAATCCACCCTAGAAGACATTACGATCTACAAATCATCCAACCATGAGAGCAACTAAAAATAACTATTAGAACCACCAATCAATTTTTTTTTTAAACCACGAATCATTCATTCATCTAATAAAGAATAAATGCTAAAGCCAATAAAACATTAAAATCTCTCCAACTTACAATTCAAACCAAATAGTATCTAGTAGTGAAATGATCAAAACTAGCTGAAACATTTTTTCATAGAAATTTCTCAAATAAAATAATTTAGACTAAGATGAAGCATCTCTAAGCCTCCACTTCAGGATCCTTATACTGACTCTCTCCATTCTCGAGATCAACTTGCTTATCTAACTTCACATCCTCCTCACTACCAAAATCTGTAATGTGTTGTAGGTTTTTAAAATAATAAAAAGAAGACAACTCTCTTTTGAAAAATAACATATATAAATTTTTGAGAATAAAATCATTACTATTGTAATGATCTCAGGTGTACAGAATACAATAAATCAATAACAGGAATAAACATGCTAGAAAGTAAAGCAATCAATAATTAACTCAATACCATCATCTCATATTCTCATGTATATTGTTTCATCCCCATTCTCATATATGTTGGTTGCTTCTTAGGGATCTACACAATAATTCTACCTTGTTCACCCATCACAACCACACAATCTCAATCATTCCTTGTAAGGACAAATCACAAACCACTTCAGGAAGGGCGTATACCGTCTCCCATGGCATTGACAAATCATTCCAAGGAAAGGTATACCGTCTTTCAGCCTCGAACTTACATAAACAATAGTAGTTGTTCTCACAAACAACAATCCACTACAAGTGTTAGGCAATCATCTCACCCCCACTAGAATAGACTAACCTCTAGCACTCAATGGCAGCTCTCGAAGACAATTCAAGTCTGTCACACCCAAATCATACAAGAGATGAAACTACAATTTTCTCGACAATCACAATCTTAACCAATCACAATTTTATTTAATAATTCAAGTATCACAATTGCACAATTCTCAATATACTATAGTAATGAAGGAATGAAAATATGCAAGAGATCATATCAATAAACCCTTCACAATTTTGATATTAAAATTCTAGGATTTTGCCAAAAATCATAATTTCTTAGAACAAGAACAAGTATTAGATAAAAACATGATTTAGTCAAGAATAGGAATTTAAAAATCAAGAATCCATATGAATTTTACAATAGAACATGTATTTTAGAAAAATAGGGTTTTGGAAATTCAAGAATGTTTCTTGAATGCAAGACATGTATTTAGTTGAAAATAACATGTTATTCGAAAAGAAATCAATAATGAAAAGTAGGTTAATCAAAAGAAACCAAGAATGAAAGATTATTTAACATATGATAATCTAGAAGATCTAAAACATACATAATTATACCCTAAGTCTCAATGAAAGAACTTGAGAAGAATCTCCTACCTTGATTTCGTAGTTTGTGTGTAAACCTAGCGTGTTTGATCTGTTCCAATGTGAGAATTCTCCTTCAATCTTGTGTTTCTTTTCTTCTCTCTTGCTCTCTAAGGTTCTCTAGGGTTAACAACTGATGAAATAGGGCTAAAGGAAAGTCCTTATGATATTTATAGGGTGAAAAACAGAGAAAAATCCTAAAACTGATCAAGGCTATTTTAGGGTAGTGTCCAAACAGTCCTTGAGCATCTAGATGGTTTAAAGTCACTATTTTGTGATGAAAAGTAAAGTTTCATGGTAAGGAGTACCGTTCGAACAGTGCTTGGGGCGTCCGGACGGTACCAACTTTCTGTCCGAACTTCAGGAGCAGTTTTCACCTATTTAGAAGTTTAGAAAATTTTTGTGAAATGCACTTTTGTAGCACTTGAAGTCTAGTTTCCACTATCCAAAAATCAGCTCAATCAGAGTTTAGATTAAAAATTTATGGCTAAAATAATAAGGTAATATCAAATTCCTTCCTACGCAAATTCTTTCTAAAATGTGTTTTTACTTCGGAATACTTTCTAACTTCTAATACACCTTATATTACCTCTCTCAAGGTTTCTCGACCTTCTGGATTCAATGGAGGTATTATTTTGAACTAAAATCATTTAGAAACTTACCTAATCACCCTTCTCAAGCTTACACAACTTTGAAACTAAGTTTGATCTGAAAGTCAATTCGTCCGAAACTCAAACTTCATGATTAATCTTTTAAAAATGATTCAAAGTTTCTACAATCCTTTTATTCATCCTAGGAAAAATATTAATATGATATTATTCTTTTTTTTAATTCTAGTAAGGGGTCTTACACTACTAGGATCACTACTTCAGTACCAAAGGCTAGGGAGAATGGGTTCTCCTTGGTAGATGTCCTAACAATAGTCCTATAAGCCCAAAAAATACTTCAAAAGCTATTCTACCAATAATCCTTTGGATTGTTCTAATATGGTCTTTATACTTTTGAGTAGGGTTCGGATGGTAATTTCTGCTTGCCCGTTTGCTTGTAGATGACATAGTGAAGAATATATTGTGGATTCCAAGCTCGGAACAAAATCCTTTAAAATTTTCATTGTCGAATTGTTTGTCATGGTCACAATGATGATTGTTGGGATGCCAAACCTAAAAATAATTGACTTTCATACAAAACCTTGTATTTTTTTTGTAAGATTCTTTATAAAATTTAAATATGGATAACATGATATTAAGAGAACTTCCAAAAGTATGATAGAAACTTCGATGAATTGTTGAAAGATTGATCATGAAGTTTGAGTTTTGTGCGCATTGACTTTCGTATTAAATTTAGTTTTAGAGGTGTTTAAGCTTAAGAAGTGTTGATAGGGAAATTTTTTAATTTTTTTAGGTCAAAATAAGGTTTTAATTGAATCCAGAAGGTCAAAAAACCTTGGGAGATGTTATATGGGATGTATTAGAAGTTTTGAAATATTCCAGAGTTAAAAACTTATTTTGGAAAGGATTTGAGTAGAAAGGAATTTGACATTATCTTAGTATTTTAGCCATAAATTTTTTCTCCGATGTCTAATTAAGCTGATATTTGGATAGTAGAAATTTTATTTCAAGGTATACAAAAGTATATTTCATGAAAATTTTATGAATCGGCCTCTAACAAGGTCAACATCAAGCTAGAAGTCGGGGGCAGATTGTTATCCGCTTCTGGTTGAAAATTCTCTATTTTTCCAGCCTATAAATACCTTAGGGTCACAATCTAGAGTGTTTTTACTTGTTTCTCAACCCCAAGAAATCTAGGAAAGTTTGAGGAGCATAAAAGAAGGAAGAATGGACTAAATCTTGAAGGATTAACACATAGTAATCACAACAAAGCCCACTAAGATTAAGATCTAAGGAATCAAGTAAGGGTTCTTTTTCAGATATATTCATTGATTACTAGGGCTATATAATATATTTTTTTCATCCTTATTATGATATAAATAATTGATCTATAATTTTTTTATGTTTGTTTGAATCTATGGTTCATTTCTTAAAAAACATACATGATTTGCTTCTAAGATTCATTCGTTCTTGTTTTAGAAACCCTAATTCTTGAAAAATACATGATTTACTTCCAAGATTTATCTGTTCTTAAT